CATTGATGACTAAATTCACTGCCAACGTGTAGGTTCAGGAATAGAAGCTTCCTATTTCACCAAAACCTGCTCCTGTCCTTTATTCCCTATTGCTGTTTGGCTTTGCAAGAGTTGGTTGAAGTTGAAAAAAAATCAGTGTAGAAGAAAGTGCTGATGGTATGAATTTGTTTAAGGTGGACCTCAACTTTCCAAGAAGCGACCCAAACACTTTATTTCATGACCCTCTTCTGTGGCACAAATGGAATGAGACATTCAGAATTCAGTTATGAAACTGCAATGGACTGTTGCTGACTTTATTGTAATTTCGAGTGACACCTTCTGTAGCATGTTCATCATGTATAGCCCTTTTCATCGACTGGTTCAACCATTCAGATCTGTTGTAATTGTCATCTGCTTGTTCCTCTGTTGGGTCTTTGTGGTTCGTCACTCTTAGTTTAGGTTCTTGTCTTCAGCCTTGCTACCAAGGGTGGCTCTACCAGGAGTTTAGAACTTCCAATGGCATCACTCTCAGAGTCATTGGACCAAACATATTTTTACGAAATGTATTTATTTTTACATAAAAATAAAATAATACCAAAACTATTTTTGAGGTGTGTGGATCTCCTAGTTCACAAAAGCCAAATTTTATATAACATATACAAATACATGCTGAAAAGAAACTATGTGTACAACACGGATATTTTACTGAAAGTATACTATCAAAAATCAAGCAATGAATGAAACATTAAAAAATATTTTTCTACTTCAGTTTTTCATTCAGAAATATTTTTCTTTTAAAAAAGAACAGCCTTTCAGCTCAATTTAAAGTGACTTTTTGTTCTTTTATTAATTTGTATTTCCTATGATTGAAGAGTTTATCATTTTTTAGAAATATATCTAGAATACATATGTTGCCTGTCCAAAAACCTAAATATTTTCCCTCACACAGACAGATGTAGCCATCATTTAGATGCCGCAACATAAACAGCACGCTGATGTAGTTTCAGTAAAATAACAAAACCAGCAAATCAGAATTAAGGATTCAATGTTGGCCAATGAAACGAAGATCAAGCATATAAAATTGTGTTCAAGATGATCCTATCTCTGCTGATATAAGCAGAGGAGAATCAGTATATAAACAGCAGTATAGCAACAAAGGAGAAGCAACCACATTGAGGGACCAGGAACAACAACATCTATATGCCCACACTGGCACTGTAAAATTCCACTCGCTACTCCTGGACAAGGAATTTGATATGAGAACTAATGCTCCACCAGTTGATAATTGGATTTATTTGTAAGTACAAACTTTGTATACTAAACCAAATATGCTCCCAAAAAGCTTACATGTGTGATTTATGATTGGTGCTTGCCATTCACACAATGAACCAGTTGCTCTGACAGAAACTCATCCTTTTTCTTTTCCACAGAAACAATGTTCTACCTAATAAATAGTTGTTATTGTTTATTCTATAAATTCATATTTGTGTTTATTCATGTTTTTGTAGTTAGAGACATTGGTGTCTTAGGGCCAACAAAACAAATTGTAGGTATCACACCCTCTACACATATGTCCACTGAATACTGGGACAATATTATGAGTTTGTGGATTTTAGAAGCAGGTGAAGATTCAGTAAAGTACAGAACTAAAGTATTTTTCTTTTTTTTAAGGTAAGTGAATCAAATAAATTTTTTTTTAGTCACAAAGTGAAATGACAAGCAGAAGACATGACAAAGGAAATGGAATTGGGTTAACAAAAATAGATAATGTCAAAAAAATAAACTTATGTGTTGTTTATACTAAAACATGTTAAATGTTGAGGAAATTAAGTCTGGATAGAGTTACAAGTGAATTTATGGGAAAATTTTTAGATTGATGTCCTAGAATAATTGTGCATATGTGAATATTAGGTTTTAATGACATAATAACATCCCCTTGTCACATTCTAGTTTTAGCCAGTAGGATGGACTGGTAGTAGATAACAAACCCTCTTTTTGGACCATATGACAAGGTGAGCCAATAAGATTGAATTGCCTAAGGGTGGAGTTAATTCTGAAAATCTCTATATATTCAGGTACATTGTGGTAATAAAATCAGTTGTGGGGAGTGTGGCCAAGTTTGTGTGCTGGAAATGTCATTTACAGGGAGTAGTTGTCAGGTTGCAGTATCCAAAGCTGTTGCTATAAAAAAGCATCCAAAAATCCCCTAAGGCAAATCCTGTAATTCCTGAGAGAAATCAACTGTTGAATTCTCAAGCTTGACAATGACAAAAATTGCTTAAGTCAGATTCAGAAATTCACTGTTGAAAGAAAGTGCCCAACACTCAGACAAATAATGCTGCTGTTGACTCATTTGGTCCAAGGAAGAATCAAGCATGAAAATCTGCAATCTGTATTGCCACTTAAGATTAACAGCACCAAAAAGATTGCATTTCTCATAATAAAATTAAAATCTTCTTAATTGCTGTGAAGTGATTTGAGTCAATCATTTTGGTGAAATTAAGACTGGGTTATACGAATGCAGACTATTTATTTTGTGATTCTGTGAGCTGCCAATTGTGAGACTAGTTTGAGCCAGAGACATTATGACTGAGACAATGTGGTATCTCTTCATACTTAAATAATCATGATTTTGTATGCAGAGTTCCACAGTTTGAATTGGCTACCATGATAAGGCCGGACCAGAGTGTTCATGTTTCAGATTGGATTAGACAAATTAGTACCTCAGGATGTTATATCTCCTTCATTAATAATACTGATATTAAAACCAGCATATACTTTTGTATTTGAAAATGATAGAAGTGGAACTAAAAAAAAGATTTATTTAGTTTATGGAGATAGGGCTTTGAATTGTCAAACTTGTCAAAAGTGTATTGAAAAGTTTTTTCTTACCAGTTACTTTGAAAATGATCAAATCAAAACATGTCCTGAGAATCGTCAACATGCAGGATAGCCAACGAACATAAAATATTTATAGTATTGAAAATCATGATATAAATGTATTGAAAAATCATGATATGAATGTAAGAGGAGATTGTAGGAAGTGAAGACTGAGGATAAGGAGGATAGATAAAGATTGACCCTTGACTTGAAAAGTTAAAATGGTAATGTTCCTGAATAATATTTGTAATGTTCCCAAATAATAGTTATCATGGTTGGAGAGTTCCTTTGGAGAATAGTTAGACACATAAAAAATGGGGTGACTCACACTCAAAATCATATGATGAATGAAATTAAAGAGAAATGTGCATTAGAAAGCAAAGTAAAAAAAAGATACTTTTTAAAAGTAACCCATTTATTATTTACACCATTTTTATTCAGGCTCTTGTCCTCATATTTGTTGCTGTTATCCCAACATTTTGGCCTTTGTGTCTTCTGTTGTGTATATCAATCTGAGTAACCTACAGAGAATTCTGAACTGAACCCTTTATTTAATCTATAGAGTAGACTGTTCTCATTCCACTGTCCCTTTCTAGGGATATCTCATCTAGTTTTTATTTTTAGCACTGCTCAGTTTTTGCTCACAGGTTTCCATAGAGTCCAAGTACATACTGCCAGACCCAGGGATTGAACTCACAGTTACTATGTCACCAAATTCATGAAGCAATGCTTTAATTCACTGTTCTGGAGGACAATTTTCTGTAGTAAAATGGATGAAACTTTGTGATAACAACAATAAAGATAAGGACAATAGTCTGAATATAAATAGTATAAATAATGATAACTCCACATCTCAGAAATTCAGACAGAAATTAACCCTTTCATCATAGGTTCATCTTTCATTGACAATTTCATATTTGTTTCTAATTAGCTGCCTAAAAGAAGAGCTTATGTGCTTTTATCTGTAAAACATTCATTGTTTTACACGATATGTCATATTATTTATACTATAGTTCACCCAATGCAAAGCTCAAATGTTACTGAATGAGGTGTGTGTTATGAATAAAATAGATGGTAGGAAATGAAGATTATGAGGATAAGAATAGATAACAACTGACCCTTGAAGAAGTTAGGATTGTAGTATTCAGGAAAGCATCTTTGCAGGCGTTTGTTTGACATAGTAGCAGTTGTGTGGGGCACCTCGAGGTGGTGTAATGGTTAACAGCCTTGTCTCGCTATAACAATTACAGCTGAGTAGTGAGTTCGATTCTCACTGGGTGGCCCCTAATTTCAGCCTAGTGCCACATCTAAGCTATGCTTGGAAAATCACTATCTGAGCGCTTTCGTCTAATCTTTACCCGCTCGGCCCGGTGGCTAGGATCAAAGTGTAGTATCTGCGCTTTGTGAGCTGCCGGGTCGGGTGTCTGTCGAACTCTCTGCTTGCAGAGAGGAACCCGGACGTAGCTCCGCCGAAGGGTAGGGTTTCGTTGGGGGAGGTTGTTGGAACTGGCCCGCCTCGGCGGGTTTGGATGGTTATTTATTTTTGGCTGGGCCTACGGGCTCAGAGATACCCACATTAAAAAGGCCTTGTGCCACATTCGATCCCCGTGGGTGGATTGATAAATACCATAAATACCATAGTAGCAGTTGTTGGAAAAAAAAACTGAGTGGAACTTCCTCTTTACAGTTGGGATATTGAGGAAATGAGAGTGATTTGACACTGTGGACATCAGATGACGTTTCTTAGCTGTAAAAGTCTGAACTGGTGAAATTAAAGAATGGAGTGATACAAACTGTAGTGGTGCCTTTTACAATTGTGTATATAATCATTTTCATGAGATTTACATTTAAAAAGGATCATGTGAACATAAACTGGAGAAAAGCCATATTTGTGTGGAAGACACAAACCAGGAATCTTGTGGAAATCATTTTTAAAATTTCATATTCACACATGAGAGAGAGGGAGAGAGGGGTCATTTTCACAAAATTTCTGGATAAGTATTTGAAAAATTTTATAAATTAAAAAATAAAACTCACATGTAAACAATCAACAATCTATTGTATCGTGTATAGATGAATATTTAAAAAAATCCATATTAAGCATTTGGATGGTTTAAAAGTTTTTAATTTCCGGTTTATAGCCACATCACATTGAAAAATCGGTTCTCGTACTGTCACTAAAGTTAAACAATGTCAAGCCTGGTCAGTACTTAGATGGGTGACCACTTGGGAATACCAGGTGCTATAAGCTTGGATATTTGGGTGGTGTAATGGATAATGACTCAAAATTTTTAACCGAGAGCTAAATTCCAGTTCCTGTTGGGTTCATTATATTCACTTATGCACAAATGCCATTGGGAAAGGTATGAATCCACCTTTTCTCCCCCAAGCTATGTGTTAATTAGTAAGACTTATATAACTAAAACTATTATTATCTCTCTCTGTAAAAAAAAAAAAAAATTCTTACAATCTAAAAATATTTTCTGACTGTAACTTGTAATGGGTTTATAAGCCGTAAAAAATGAATAAATCAATTTTAAATTTTCGGGTTGAAATAACATATAAATGCACAATGGAGAAAAGCCATATTCTTGTGATATGTATGCATGCATTTTTATACACTTCTACAATGTAACCCGGATATAAGAGAGATTTTCTCTGGTCCCAAATTAGAGCCTGTGTTAATGTATATAAAATAGACCAAACCCGGATATAAGAGACTTCTTCTCCGGTCCCGACAACTCTCTTATATTTGGGATTACACTGTACATTCAAAATAGGCAATTAAATACATTAAATCATATTTTTTTATAATGTGTAAATCAGCATTTGCACTGACATAATATTTGCAACATGTTTTAAAACTGAAGAGAAACCATATTCTATTGATGTATGCATTTTCATGATAGTTAAGATAATATTATTCTAGCGGCATGCTTCTTCCAAATTGTCCTGTGACCCATTGACAGCAAGAATGTATTAAGCTGTTAAGAATTCAACTGCCTTATAACTTCTGTTAAATATAAAGAATGCCTTTGAGTGCAAGAGAAACTCTATAGTTGAGAAAAATAAAAATATTTCTGATAATTCATTTTAACAAAAACATTTCAGTCTGTGAAAAATACAATACTCTTCTACAAATTAAAATTATCTGTGGTCATATGTTATCAGTGCTGAGAGCAACATCAGCTTCCAGACCAAGTCAAAATTCTAAAAATCGATGGTTGTTTCCATCCTCCACTATGGGTGTGAGACTTGAACACTCCTGGTGAAGACAGGGAAAAAGATTTAGACATTCAAAAACAAATGCCCGAGAAAGCTTCTCCGCATCTATTACTGGGAGGGCAAAACCAATAACTATGTACAAAGCAAGGTTAAAAGTCTTGAGGTCCAACAGGAATCTCTTCACTCCACTATTGATTATCAGTAGACGGCATGGTTTGGCCACATCACATGGCATGACAACTTCTGCAAGACCATCATGCAAGGTGCTGTTGAAGGTGGATGCACACAGCTCACTGCAAATCAGACCAAAATCTGGGGGAGCCTTGTTATAAAATAAAATAAGACATATCTCGGCTGATTTACAGGCAAATACTCAAGAGCAAGAGCCGGATGTGAACAGGACAAAACCCCGTCACAAAATGACCATTATCTTCATTTACCGACACACGTGTTCCGGTCGAAAAATAAAATAATATTTAAAGTGTTCTATTTTTCGTCCAATAAAAATGCTTCCCTCCTAATTATACTCGCTTCGTTTTTCGAGCCTGTTAAGCCATAAAAAAACTCTATAAAAGGGGTCACACAGAAGTTCAATGGCAGTCCACAGGTGGCCGCAAAACAGACCGTCATGGTCAGGCCGAGCGATCAGCAGCAGGAGAGCATCAATCACTGTCAACATGTGTGAACTACTATGAGAGATTGACCTAGATCCGAAGCCAGCTTACGAACTATACCACAAGGTAGCTGTCCCAAACCCACACGTTCCTGTTGAAATAAACCTTGTAAATCTATTTCTGCTGTTGTCGTATTTCTTTCTTGCAACCATACGCTTGTCTATAACATTTCTTTCTGAGGTAGACTGGTTGCCAACCAAGGCTAGAGAACCCAGTCTGTCCTGCTATTCAATCCATAGGTGGAGGGAGAAGAGGTGGCTTCATACCTTTCCCAAGGGTATTTGTGTGTAAGTGAATGTAATAAACTGGAATTCAAACTTGGCTCTCTGATTTCTCATTATTAGATGATATCCATTTCACCACAGCACACATCCAACTAAGCCAAAAAATGCTAAGTATTAGTAGTAGTAATAGCTATCATCTTTTTTTGGTTTTTGTGCACGTATTTAATCTTTTGAGAAAATTTGCTTTTTCGGTGTTCCATCCTGCAAGAAAGATACTTTGGCATGTAGATATGTTCTGGCATTTGAAAATTGTATTGGGTTTGTGTTTTTGCAGTTTGTCACAATATTTGCGGTATTAACTTTGGTTTAAGTCAGGAAATTCTTGCAACCATACGCTTGTCTATAACAATGGTATTGCAAGAGATGGTTAGACAACATCAAAGATTGGATGGACATGACAATGCGAGAACTCATGAAAACCGCTGCCAACAGATCAGTCGAGAAGAGGTTGTTTGTTTCTTCTGCCCTTAGATTCAACCTGACGACTGAAGCAGTCAAGGGAGTAATGATGATTTTTTTAATTAGCTTTCTGATGCCTTTCTTCATTTACATTCTGATTAATATCTTCTGTCATCATCACATTCTGGCCATTATGTTCTCCACCCTTCTTCAAGTTTCAGTCAATGTGAGTAATCTTCAGGTAATTTCAAACTGAACCCTTTATTTAATCAACAGAGGTAGATTGTTCATGTCTTGAAACATCGTTTTTCTTCTGTTCAGTTATCACTCAACCTGTTTCCATTGAGCCTATGTCTGTAATACTCTGCCCAGAAATTGAGGTCGTTGAAAAATACAATTCTTCTCTGTGAATAAAAATCCATTACTGAAATTAGTTTTGTCAGCTTTCTTCATGGCTGTTTGCTTTCTTTTTTGATCTGAGTGAAATTGTCTTATTTACACTATTTATATTTGTTATGGTCCGGTTCCTTGTACCACGGTGATAGTCCAAGGTAGAACCAGTAAAGAAGAACTCGAATACGGATATGGAATAACACAGATATATTACAAACAGGAATATATACAGAGAAGTAGAAAGTGTTAGTACGAACAATCAGGTTTAGTAGTAATTGTCTGAACGTGACTCTATTTCGGACTGCCTCTGACTCGACTGACTCGCTCGCTCTGACTGACTGACAGACTCCTGACGGACTTCACTCCAGACTTCACAACTGAACTTTCTGCTTCCTCTTGAGGCACAGTATTTATTACGTATGGAATAGTCCATTATGTTATTATGGGTAAGGTCCCATAACAATATTTGAACTATTGTCCTCACCTTTGTTGTTCTTATCCTGTTTCAGCCATTGTGCTTTCCAGGCTTCCTCAGATATATACCAATCTGTGTAACCTGTAGGCAATTCTGCACTGAATCCTTTATTTATTGTATGGGGATAGACTGTTCTTGTTTCACTGCTCATGTCTAGGGATATCATCTAGTTCTTACTTTTATTTAGTACAGCTCGTTCATTTCCACTGAGTGCAAATACACACTGCCTGACCCAGGACAGTGGCCTAAGTTGATTAAAGCATTGGTTTGTAAATTTGATGATATAGTGATTGTGAGTTCACACCTTGGTTTGGGCAGTGTGTATTTGCATCTATTGGAAACAGATGAGCAGTAACTGAACAGTACTAAATACTTACTTGAAGGCGAAAGGACTATGTTCATTGTTTCAGTTTATTAGATATATAAAAAGAAAATTTAAGCATTGTTTTTTCTTAAGCATCCTACTATAAGTGTGCTTGTCCCTCCCTTCATTAGTTCGCATACAATTAAGTCCTGCCAATACCTGATAAATAATGGACTATTCCATGTTTTGATCACATGGAAAGAGGGAGAAAAAACATCACTTGGTTTCAGTGAGAAAATGAAGGAAAGAAGGAAATGAAAATAGAAGTGGAGAGAGAGAATCAGATTAAGCTGATATGAACAGATACTACACTTTGATCTTAGTGAAAAGGCCTAGAAGATGAAAGAATGAAGGAAAGATAGAAGTGGAGAGAGAGAATCAGATTAAGCTGATATGAACAGATACTACACTTTGATCTTAGTGAAAAGGCCTAGAAGATGAAAGAATGAAGGAAAGATAGAAGTGGGAGAGAGGATCAGATTAAGCTGATGAGAACAGATACTTGACTTTTGAAAAATCTTAGTGATAGAAAGAGGCCTAGCTGAGATGAAAGAATGAAAAGGAGAAGATGAAGGAAATGAAAACAGAAGTGGAGAGAGAGGATCAGATTAAGCTGATATGAACAGATACTACACTTTGATCTTAGTGAAAAGGCCTAGAAGATGAAGGAAAGATAGAATGGAGAGAGAGGAAAGCTTGATATGAACAGATACTACACTTTGATCTTAGTGAAAAGGCCTAGAAGATGAAGGAAATGAAAACAGAAGTGGAGAGAGAGAATCAGATTAAGCTGATGAGAACAGATACTACACTTTGATCTCAGCCTAAAAAGCCAAGAAGTAATGGTGACTGTGATAAAACACCATTTTTCAGACAAACACTATTGTATGACAGAAACCAAGTAAGGTAATCGCCAATAAATAAAAATAACATCACCATAAATAAAATAATATTGTCTGCTGAATTATTTTAAAATTATGAGAAATGTTTGGAAGACAGGAATTTGAGTAGAAAGAAGGAAAGATATAAATGTTTAATATCTTCTGCCAATACCTCATAAATAATGGACTGTTCTGTTTTGATTACATAGAAAAGACTGAAAAAAAGAAGACAGAAGTGTTTAAAGTCTGTTTCAATGAAATAAAAAAAAGTTGTCAATTTCAAATCTTTTCATTAGTACCTTAAAATAACAACCAGCATTCATATTTTTGATTGTTATTGCAATATTTTGTTAAGCTCAAATATTTAATGATGTGATAGGAGAATTTCTACAGATTTTTCTTATTTTTATTGCCATAGAACTCGCCATGAGCTTATTCAAAATCATTAACTGAAGAATTACAATTCATCAAAAAGTTAAAATAGGAAAATCTTGAAATTTCCCATGATCTTTTTTGTTATTAGAAATTTAAGTTTGATGGATTGATTTGCTT